GCAGGCACCGCGCGGGCGCGGGAAGGGGGGTCACACGTCGTGGTCCCTCCGGCAGGTGGTAGGAAAATATTGTTGGGAGCAAGGGCAAATATTATTTATTATTATTTTTTATTATTTTTATTACTTTTAAATTATTTATTATTATTTATTATTATTTATTATTATTTATTATTATTTATTATTATTTATTATCTAGCTAATTGGATAATACATCCCCGTGCCACGTGCTCCGGGTGTCCCTGCTTGAGCAGGGGGTTGGAGTAGATGATCTCTAGAGGTCCCTTCCAACCTCAACCACTCTGTGATTCTGTAATGATATGCATCATCTATAATTATAAATATATAGGTATGATTTCTGTGCCGTAGTTGGTCGCTTGCTGCAAAAGTGATTGGATTTACAAAGCTGGACGTGGCCGCGGGGCTGGGCTGGGCTTTATGGAGCGGGTGGCAGGGAAGGGGCAGGGAGAACAAGGGAACCCTCCGGTGCCGCAGCAGGACGTGGCCGTGCAAGACGATTTTCCTTATTTATCCGTGTTTTTCACCAAAAAAGGGATGAGTAAATGGGAACGAGGCTTTGCACGGATTTAAATAATTCCAGCGCGCCGGCGTTTCCTCCGCTTCCCTGATGAGCTCATTCCCAGGCCAATAAATCCCGCCTGCAGGAAGTTCCACCTGATGCTCGGCTTAATTTTTCCCCTACTTAAACCCCTCCTATCGCTCATTGAAGCGAAGGGGAAGCGGGTTTGGGCTGCAGATGGTGGAGGTGCTGGGTTGTGCCCGCAGAAGGATCCTGCCGCCTCCTTGTATTTAATTTAATTATTTAGATATAAAACTGCCACTCGGATGTGAAACCAGGGCCAGGGTTAGGTCCAGCTCAGGGCCAAGCCGGTCCGGCCATGCACATCCTATGGATGCTGAGCAAATCCCGTGCATCCCATGCCGGGGTCATTTGCATCCCCCGAGGTGTGGGATTTTGCACGGCAGCAGCTCCGGGTGGGAATTGCCCAAATGCAGGTGCCGCGTGGCTGATTTACGCTGGAATCGGGTCCGTCGGAGCGGAGAGCGGGACCCTGCAGCGCGGGACACTGAGAACCCCCCTCGGCAGCACCGGAAAGCGCGAGCGGAGCGAGCGAAACCTCAGAAACCCCAACCAGCCCCGAACTGGAAACTGTTAGTAAGAGAGGCGCTGAGGATATGGCCCAGTTAAACGGGTGCCAGTTGGGATCAGACGGACCCGAAAACTCAGCAAAAAAGGGAGCTTTTTGGTGCATCTCTGTCCCGTTCTCCTGGAGCATCCTGCGTGGCCGGTCCGATGTCCCCATCCCTTCCCAGTTGCTCCATGGGCATCTCCCAGCACTAAAGCTGCTCCAGCTGAGCGGTTTCCAGTGCTCGCACATTACACACAAAACCAGGAGCTTATCCCACAGGAGAGGTGCCGGGGATCCTGTTGTTGCCTTAAGCAGCCCGAATCCTTCCCCTCCGGTTCCCTTGCAGTTCATTCGTTTTCCTCCCTGCCTTGCAAGTGTAAATTCTGAAATAATCTGCGCCGGTGAGATGAGCAGCTCTAGACAGGGCCAGGAGGCCTTTGCAAAAGGCAGGTTGCGTTTTTGGAGAGAATTAGATGCAAAAATAGACCAGATTTGGGGGATTTTGGAGAGAATTAGAGCTAAATAAGCTATGCAGTTAATTGCTTGAGGGTTGTTTCGCTGCTGGCCAAGCTCCCACGGGCCGTGCAGTGGTAGGACCCTCTGTTTCCAGTTTGGGGCTCAGCGGATGGAGAACGGGTGGGATTTTTCCCTGCTCAAGGAGGCCGAAGGTGGCTCCTTCCTCGCAAAGAGCCCCCAAATCCTCCCCGTGCTGGGGATGGGGACATGGTCGGAGAGGGGGGACAAGGGCCCCTCCGTGGCCGCCCTGTCCCGGGGCTTTCCGTGCTGCTGCTGCTCCCCGGCAGCGTCATCGCCGGCGCGGAGCCCGCGGGATGTTTCCGGAGGCGCCGCCGGCACGGCCGGGGTGCCTAGCCCCAAATCCATGGGCTCTGCGCAGCTCCGGGGCCTGTCCCGGCGGGATGGGTGTTCCTGGGAAGCGGCGGGAGGCTGGACAAAAAGCAGACTGTCCTGCTTGGACAGCGGGGAGCTCCGGCTTTCGCCCGAGCTGCTTCCTGCAATCCCGGCTCTTGGATGTGCAGGGATCCGTGGGTGGCTCTGGAGCATGAGCCGCTTGGGGCACCTTCCCGTCGTCCGTTCGCCCTGGGGAAAGCGCAAGGCTCCAAAATACCTTGTGCCAACAACCGTTCCCGTAGCCCTCGGCTGCTGGAACTAGATTTGCAAAGTGGAGTCTGCTGGAAAACGCAAGCGTTTGTCCCACAAAGGTGCGGATTCCTATTTTATCCCCCTGGAAATGGATCCGTTCTCCCGAGCAGCCACTCCAGGGTGTAGCTGCAAACCAGCCACCGGTGGGACAAGACCCTGGCTCGGCACCGCTTCCCTTGATCCGTTCACATGCTCCAGGCCCCATCCCAGCTGCCAGCAGGATGGTCCCCTGGGGAAGGTCCCCATCCCGGGGCCCCCGGGGGGCACGGCCGCCCCCGGCCACCCCCCCGCGGGCCCGGTGAGGAGGAAACCATCTATTCTTTCATGTGCGAAGGCGGAAACGGTCGGAAGGAGCCCCGAAAGGACATGGCAGGCTCGCAGGAAAGCGGCACGCTCGTCTGGCAGGAGACGGGCTATTGTCTGCGCCGGTGGCCGGCGGGGATTCCTCGGGCTGCACGGGGAGGAGAAACCCTGGGCAGGTCTTATTTTTTCCTCTGCCCCTTCTCCCTCTCGGGGGCCGGGGCTGCAGCAGCTCTAAAATGCACCGTGCAAGCACAAGGATGCTCACGAATTGCACGGTGCAAGCACAGGGATGCTCCAGGATTCCCTGGGCGCGTGGGGCAGCGCGAGCGCCGGCGCAAGGGCGCATTGCACGTGCACGGAGCCGGAGCGAGCCCGTTGTCCCGGGGCTGCTACAAACCGTCGCCGGGAGCGCCGTCAACCCCTCCCGGCCCTCTGGGGTGTTGGCGCCTTGTGGCTTTTTGCCCAGGACGTTGCAGCAAGGGTTGGGTTGCAGGGAAGCTGGGGCGTCCTGCAAGGGCCACGGGCAGAGCTCGCTCGTGGGCTTCCCATTGCACCCTGTGCCAGCAAACCCCTCCTTGCAGCCAGGTTTTCCGTGAATACATGTGCAAACACTCCCGTCTGCAAAGGCGCAGCAGCAGCAGCGTTTCCTTGCCCGTCTGGGCACAGGCTGCTGGGCGCAGGGCTCGTTTCTGCAGCGCCACGTGCCGTGCACGGCAGCGAGCGCGGCAGCGAGCGCATCCCGCCGGCACAGGGCTCAGCCCCGGAGTTTCGGGCCCGATGGCATCAGCTGGTGCCGGGAAGGGCGGCCCGGTGCATGGCGAGAATGGCAGGACGGGCCCAGCAGGGCCGTGCGCTCCGGGGCAGCCGAGCAGCCCTTGGAGGACCCAGCCAGTCCCTGGTGCAAGGGGTGGGCGCCCCGTGGGACCCCCAGGGCTGCAGCACCCCGGACGGGTGGCACGCGGCCGCCCCGTCCCTGCATGCCATAGCAAAGCGCCGGCAAGGCGCTGTCCGGCGCGTCCGCCCTCACCTGCCCCTTATCCCGCTTTCTTGTTCTGCAAGGCGCGTAGCAAACAGATCCCTCTTATCCTGTTGTCCGCGTTCAGCTCCCTGTGGGAGCGGGAGAGCGAGCGCGAGGGCAATGGGAGCCAAGCACTGCAGGAGCACGAGGCCATGTTCCTGCCCTGTGCCGCGCGCCTCAGTTTCCCCCTTGGAAAGCTGCGGGATGCGTGGGACACGGCGGGACGTGGGCAGCTCTCTGGCCTTCCCGCTGGCTCCCGGCCACGTCCCATTTTGCAGCCAAACGGGCCCAATTCCTCCCCGGCCGGCGCGCGCTAAGGGCCATGCCGGGCAGGGGGACACGTCCCATGTCCCATTCCCGTCCGTGCCAAGCAGCCAGCCCCATTCCCAAGCTGGAGGATGCCTGGAGAGCGCCGCGATGTGCCGGGCAGCCCAGGGCAGGGAGCGGAGATTAAAAAAAGCCCCGCTAAGATCAGAAAGGCTGGCGCGCACAGTGCCCCATTGTGGAGCTGTCACACTTCCCTTTGCTTTATTGCTTTTGTCCAACACCCTATTGTTCCACTTCCTTTTGTCCCCTATTCAGAGCGCTGGCTTTTCATTACCCAGCCGGCCTTGTTGTTTTCGTTTCTTTTGTTTGAAGTTCCTGAGAGGAAGGTTTTATTTTCAGCGGGTTGATTAATTCGCAGCTTGAGCTGCGCTTTGTTTGTTATGTAATTGGTGCCCTGGGCCGGGCCGCCCGCACCCCTCGCGCCCCCCGTTTGGGGGGCCCGTGCGGTGGGACCTGCCCCATCTCCGCAGCCCCGCTCCTGCATCCAGCTGCTCCCCAAGTGCCCCTTGTTCTCGTTGCTTCCCAAGCCGGCTCCGGTCACCTACAGCTCATTCCATGGGATGCGTTGTGCATCGGTGCCAGGTCGGGAGCAGCAAGGACCCCGCCGCGGCCTCCGGCCGTTCCCGGCTCCGAGCCGCTCCGGGGACTCCCACAGGAGCGGCTCTGGTTGCGATCCCAGGCATTGTTTAGCAGGGCCAGGATTTCCATTTCCCCTTGGAACAGGAAAGCCGCCGGCTTTCGAGGCACGCTCGGCTCGCCGCCGGGTCCGCTGGCTCGCCGGTGCCACGCGCGGCGGGATTCCTCTCCCACTCCTTCCCGGCACTCCCTTTGCCCCCAGATCTCACCCTTTTGGGTGGGTTCACACCAAGGCTTGGTTGAGCATCCCGCTCCCTTCAAATCCGGGACAACAGACGTGGATTTGGGCTTGGCTGGGGGGCCAAGGCTTGGAAAGCTGGGAATGATGTGGGCACTGTGGCGAAGGGTGACAGCAGTGCGAGAAGAGCACCCATGGGCTCCACTGACGTCCCCGTCGGTCCCGCAGGATGTCCATGAGGAGCCCCGTTTCGGCGCAGCTGGAGCTCGATGGAGCCGGCGCCATGGTGAACTGCAGCATCAAGACGGAGGAGAAGAAGGAGGGTTGTCCCGAGTGGTCCCCGGGGGCTGCGGCCGGCGCCGAGCCCGGCGCCACCGACCCGCCCGCGCCGCCCAGCGCCGACACCGCCGCCGACCCCCCGGCGCTGCCCCAGGTGGGTCCGGGCGCCCCCTCCATGGCACTTTGTGCCCATCCGCGATAGTGCCAGGTCACCGGGACCTGTGTCCCGCCTGCAGCCGGGGACGTGGTGGCCTCCGTCCCCAGGCACGCGGGGTTGTTTTTCCCCCCTCCGCCATCTCATTCCTTATCCAGAGGAAATTAAGCTGAAACCTGAGGCTCCCCCAGGCTTTCTGGCCACTCTCGGCGCTCCTGCCCTCGGCTTCTGGCCCTCTGTGCATCCCCCGTCTCGTTTTCCCTTTGTAATTGCTGTGGGCTTTTCTCGGGCCCTGACCAGCAGCCTCCGACCTCCCGCTTCCCCCGGTGCCCTTAAGGGGCTCAGGGACACAGGGCGGGCGATATAAATAACAGGGACCTGCTGCAAGCGAGTCCTTGCAGGGCGAGAAGGGCAGGCGCCGGCAAAGTCCCCGGCAGTTCCCAACTCGGGGCTGACTAGGGAATATCCTGTAGGAAGAGGGTCCAGGCTGGGCTGTCTTGGCGCATCCCAAGTTTCCCAGCCGGGATCCCCTTCATCCGTGGGGTCCCGGTTACAAGTGACGCTTTGCACCTCATAGGAGCCCTGCTCGCCGGGCGGCGACGCGCAGGATTCCGGGCGCGCGGAGCCGGCCGCGGGCGCCCAGGAGAAGCTGGACTTCAACAGGAACCTCCAAGAGGGTAAGAGAAACCTCCCCCCCGGGTGCCTCTGGCCCCATGAGGACAGAGCTTGGTTTGGGCGGCCGGGAACATCCCTGGGGATGCGGGCGGCGGGGGCGGCCGCCGGCCTCACGGCGCGTGCCCCTGCCCGCCGTGCCCACGGCAGCCGTGATGCCCACCCTGGAGAAGCTGCTCTGCAGCGACTGGAAGGAGCGGCTGCTGGGACGGGGCGCCGCGGAGCCCAAGGAAGTGAAAGGTGAGCGCGCGGGGCTGGCAACGGCGCTACCCGGGCTAGCGGGAGGGGAAACGGCGGGGCAGCCCTGCATGTTTTATCAGAATATGTAGCTTTTTAGGAAAATAACTTAATTTGGGGTGGAGGATGGCAAGGACTTGGTAGAGGTTTGCAAGGAGCTGCACAGAGGTGATGCTGGAGCAGGAAGGTTCCCCTGCGCATCCCTGAGCTTGCCGAGACCTTCTCATGTCCTGTTAGCGCTGCCAATGCAGCACCCGGGAGCCCCTAGCTGCGGTGGGGACCCAGCCCCGAGCCCCTGACCCGCAGCCTTGGCTTCTCCCCCACCCTAGGAACCCAGGAGAGCCTGGCGGAGAAAGAGCTGCAGCTCCTCGTCATGATCAACCAGCTGTCCACGCTGCGGGACCAGCTCCTGACGGCGCACTCGGAGCAGAAGAACATGGCAGCGATGCTCTTCGAGAAGCAGCAGCAGCAGATGGAGCTGGCACGGCAGCAGCAGGAGCAGGTGGGCGCCCGGCGCCGGCCCTGTCCCCATGGGAATCCAGAGGGAATCGTGGTCAGGACCACCCGTCCCCCGGCGCATCCCTTTGGCGGGTGCTGCTGGCGGGAGGGTGGCTTTGCTGTCGGGAGCACCTGGATTTCAGCCTTCTCCTCTGGAAACCTGTCCCTTTTCCGTGTTTTTCCATCCCCAAGACATCCTGTTTTGCTCCGTGGTGCCGGGAGGCTCCAACAGTGCAGCCCCCTTGTGCACATGCAGGTGGATGATGGTGTCCAAGGAGATGGAAAATTGCTCTCTTTAAAATAATTAAACGGCCCTGGGCCTGTCCTCCCTCCTTTGCTCCGGAACATCCATCTTTCCCTCTCCAGTGGCCCCTATGGCCCTGTGATGTCCCCGGGCACGTGCTGGCGTGAGGCCTCCTCCCTCCAGCCCTTGTTTATCTCTCGCCATGTCCCTGGAGGCGGCTCAGCCAGGTGCCCTCGGGCATCTCCAAGCAGAGCCTGCCTGTATCCCTTGGGATTCTCCACGGGATCAGGCTGTTTGTGCCGGCCTGCAGCCCAGTGGGGTCCCCATGGAGCCCCCCTGCTCCTAACACTCCTCACCCCCCGTGTGCCCCTTTCCTGCAGATCGCCAAGCAGCAGCAGCAGCTCATCCAGCAGCAGCACAAAATCAACCTGCTGCAGCAGCAGATCCAGGTACCGGCACCTCCCCGGGGCACCCGTTTCCCGGAGCCGCCTCCCTCTGCGGTTACCCGGCGTCTCCCCGTCTCCCCTCCAGCAGGTCAACATGCCCTACGTGATGATTCCCGCCTTCACGCCCGGCCACCAGCCCCTTCCCGTGGCGCCGGACTCCCCGCTGGCTCTGCCCATCCAGCCCATCCCGTGCAAGCCAGGTGAGGCGCGCGCGGGGCCCGGCGCGGCGCGGCGGCGCGGGGACCGTCCCGTGCCACGGCTCTGCCCTTCTCCCCCGCCAGTGGATTATCCCGTGCAGCTGCTGCACAGCCCCCCGCCTCCCCCGCTGAAGAGGGCCAGCGGCTCCGGCCACCTCCCCGTGCAGGTTGGTCCCCTCTGCGTCCCGCCGCGCGCCGAGGGTGGCCGCCTTGCCCGGGCTCACGCCGCTCTGCCTCCCGCGCAGGAAGCCCCGCAGCCGCTCAACCTGACGGCCAAGCCCAAAGGCTCCGAGCTGCCCAGTGCCTCCAGTTCGCCCAGCTTGAAGATGAGCAGCTGCCAGTCCCTGGCTCCCGGCCACGGGGCCGCCAGGGAGCTGCAGGCGAGCCCTTCCAACCTGCCCTTAGGTGGGTACCCAAAGCCACCTTCCATGGTGGGTCCAACTCCTGCTCTGGCCATTTCCACCTCCCTTAGGAGATATCTCCGCTCCCAGGGGTGTCCCCATGGGGTAGCAGCCGCCTCGCTGTCCCGTGTCGCCCCACGGGGTGGGACAGCCCGATGGGGTGGCCTGGGAGCTGGGGGTGCTGATGGAGACACCGTTTTGTGGCCAGGGTTCCTGGGCGAAGGCGACGCTATCACCAAAGCCATCCAGGACGCGCGGCAGCTGCTGCACGGCCACGGCAGCACCGTGGAGGGCACCCTGAGTAACCCCTACCGCAAGGTGAGCGCACCCCGCTGCACCCTCGGGCTTTATCCCGCCAGGAAGGGCCGGGCGCAGGCTCTCCATCCATGGGCACATTCTCACCCTGGCACCTGCCCCTCGGCTCTCTTGCAGGACCACGTTGGGATCGATTCTTCCCCGGGGAAGGAGCGCATGGAGGAGACCCCGGCGCACAGGCTGGACGAGGCTCTCTTGACCTGCGACATGGACGGTAGGGACGGTGCCCAGGGCCGAGAGGAGCCTCCACCACCTCCATTCCCTAACACCCTCACCTCGGGAATGCCTAAAACAGGGCTGCTAAACTCCACGCTGGAACAGCTCCCTAGTCAGCGCCAGTCCCTTTTCCTAACGGCTCTAAGAACCCACAGCTCATGAGAATCAACAGCTTTGCAGCCCTTCTTGTTGCGGGCCCTAGGAGAGCCCCGTGGGGCTGCTAAGATACCCGCTCCCGAAGCAGCAAACCCTTGGGTGCTCCCCTCCGAGCTCAGCATTTGAATTCTGAATTCTGAACACTGAATTCTGTAGAAGAATTCAGCGCTGCAGGTGGCTCAAAGGTCTCGAGGTCTCACTTTGCATCACAGGCTGCTGTTTGCTCCTTGCTCGCGGCGTCCGCGTTTCCCCCTCACTCTCACCAGGTCTCTCTGTCTGTCCCTTTGCAGGGTCGAGACCCTTCCCCGAGTCCAGGAACAACAACCACATAAAGCGGCCCATGAACGCCTTCATGGTGTGGGCGAAGGACGAGAGGCGGAAGATCTTGCAGGCCTTCCCGGACATGCACAACTCCAGCATCAGCAAGATCCTGGGTAGGCATTCCCAGCCCTGGCTGCTCCTGCTCGCGTTGGGATGGGGGGGCGCATCCGAGGGCAGGGCTCCGCTCCCGCCTTGGCTCTGGGGGGTGACGGGAAGGACAAGGGATCACATCCAGCCTCAAAAGCATCCGGCCCGTTTCTGCATCAGCGGGATTGGGAGCACACAGCCCGTGGCATGGGTGGCCCCTCCAGCTCCTCCTGCAAAACAAGGCCCGTTGGGGCAGATTCCTGCTTTGGGAAGGATCCTGAGCCCAGCACTTTTCCCCTCGCTGAAATCCTCGGGATTTGAACCAGCTGCTGGGCCCTTCCAGGCGCTCTCTCCTCGGATGCTCTTCCCTGCAGAGCTCTTGGAATCTGTGGCCCTGCCCTTTCTCTCCATCACGTCCCCTTCCCCAAAGCCCGCGGGTGCAGGATGCTGCTTGAGCCTCACATGCCCGCCGCGCCCGGGGCTCATCCGCCTGTCGTGAGCCAGGTTTTCCGCCCTCGCGCGCAACGGCAACAGCCCCATCTCGTGTCTTGCACCCTCCTGACACTGGCCGCTCAGCAAGGGCCTTTTCCCAAGCCCTGTCCTTTGGTTTTGCTCGTGCAAAGGGGGATCATTTCCTCATCGCGCAACCCCTCTAGCTCCTAAAAGAGAAGCCGTGTGGGCTCTGAAAAGCCCGGCCGAAGGGCTGGGCTCAAGCCGAGGCTTTGTGGGTTGCCTCGAGCAGATGCACCCCGCTTGGCCCCGGGCTCGTGTCGGCAGCTCCGCTATGTAAAGATGAAACCCCAGGCTCTTCCCTCTGCTCGGCGCCGGCGGGACCGGGGGGATTCGGGAGCGGGGGCTCGTGGGGTAAATAGTGGCTGGAAATAGTGAGCACGGGTCGTGCTGGGGGAGCCCCAGCCCCTCTCTGCTCAGGTTCACCGAGTCCCGGAACGGCTGGGGTTGGAAGGGACCTCGGAGGATCATCTATCCAGCCCCCTGCTCCAGCAGGGACACCCAGAGCACGGGGCACAGGGCGGCATCCAGGGGAGGCTGGAAGAGCTCCAGAGAAGGAGACTCCACAGCCTCCCCGGGCACCTGTGCACACTGGGCAGGCGATACCCGTGTGTGAGCGCTCCGGAGGCCGGCACGGCGGCTCCGCGGGCTCTGCTCGCTCCGGAGCTCCTGAGAAGCCGGATCCGCACGAGTGCGGGGGCAAGCGGGGAAGGGGGCAGCCCAGGGAGGCTCCCGCAAAGAAGGAGCCCCCCGGGATGCTCCATGGGGACATTGTTGGGGATGACAAGAACGGTCAGCACCAGGGCACCGCGAGGCCACGGGGGCTATTTCAGCTGTGGCACCTTGGGGAGGCCGCAGATGTGACCCGCGCGGGTGACAAGGGGAGGTCAGCAGGGACACTGCGAGCGTCGGGGTGCCACGTGGGCCCCCCGGCACCGTTTGCACTGCCGGCTCCCGGTGCCCGAGCCCCTTGGCAGCGGCCGCTCGCGGCCCGCTCGCCGGGGCCGGAGGTCAGCGCGCCCGCGGGGCGCTCTCCGCGCAGGCTCCCGCTGGAAGTCCATGACCAACCAGGAGAAGCAGCCCTACTACGAGGAGCAGGCGCGCCTGAGCCGGCAGCACCTGGAGAAGTACCCCGACTACAAGTACAAGCCGCGGCCCAAGCGCACGTGCATCGTGGAGGGCAAGCGGCTGCGCGTGGGCGAGTACAAGGCGCTCATGAGGACCCGGCGGCAGGACGCCAGGCAGGGCTACGCCATCGGGTAACACGGCCCGCGCCGG